CGCCGTGAAAGTACCGCTCCTGAAGCTGATTGCTGCGTCCCACTCTGCCATTTCATCAGGGCCGATGAGACCTGGCACCTCGGCGTCGACCTCGGAGATCACAACCTCGCCCTGCGCACCGTTGATGCCGACTGTGTAGCACCACGCACGCTCTGACAAGAGCGGCACGCCTGGGCCGAACTTGAAGTACTCGCGCTGATTGATGCTGTGGTACGGCACGCCCATGGCATCCAAAGTCTTCTGCAGCTCGACATGCCACGGACGTCCACCGACAGCCCGCTTGCAGCCCGTGTCAATCATAGCCAGCCCCGCGGGCAAGACAACAAGCATGACAGACTGCTCATCTACCACCTTGCGGGGACACTCCTCTCGGGTGGTGACCATGTGGGCCGCAGATCCCCCTTTTGCTGCCCAAAGGTATGCGCCCTTTGCTGCCCAGGGGTCCGCGCCCCCTTTGACGGCAACGTCCTCCCCAGTCGGAGCGGCGGACGTTAGTCCTGGCACAGCTCCGTCTGGGGTGTTCTTGGAAGGTTCCCCTTCATCCTGAATGACCGACTTCAGCGAACACTTCTTGCACTTCGCGAAGATCACGGTGCCATTTGACTGCCACTTCAACTCGCCCACAGGATGAGCACACTCAGCCTGCTGCTGCATAAGCTCTGGGTCGAACTTCGCCTTCGGGCCTGGAACCAGCCTCTCGCCGTCGAACTGCGAGTCGTACATGGCTCGATGCATCTGCTGCTTCTCCAGGTCGCTCTGCGTGGCACCGACACTCATGACGTAGCTCCGTCCAGAGGCGGTGACTACACGCGGGACTCCAGATGCAGCTGGAGATGCCGTCGCAGCGGCAGGGGCACCTGAGCTCGCGGCTCCTGGAGGCGCTGGAAGATGGACACGTCGTCGTATTGCCTCCATGTTCTTCCACACGCTTCCGACTCCCTGCTGCTCAGGAGATGTAGGCAGGCTACGCCCTGGCAGAGGTGCCTGCTCACGTCGCTTCTGTAGGCCGTCGTAGACCTCGCCTGGGTTCAATCGGGCGTGCATCTCCATCTCCTGTTTCTCTATCAGCGCGAGGCGATCCAGCAACTCAGCTTTATCACGCTGCAAGACCTCTAGTCGCTTCTTTTCCTCGCTCTTTCTCACTTCCTCGGAGGCTCCTGCCATGACCCAGTCCTCTTCCTTAGGGGCAGCGGCGGCCTCCCCAGTCGGAGCGGCAGACGTTAGTCCAGGCACAGCTCCGTCTGGGGATTCTTTGGTCTTCGATGCTCCCTTCGCCGACGCCTCCACCACGTATACAGGATGGGCCCTCGCAGGGCCGCTGGATAAGGAGAAATCTGGCTTCTCGCAGCGGCGCGTGTAGAGATTGAGGCGCACGATGCGGTCGTTCTTAGTGATGAAGTGGATGGTTGCCGGCGGCGTCAGGTAATCCCTGAAGATATCCTGACGCGGATGCCAGCTGCAGAAGATCTCGTCCATCTCCTCTGGCGTGAACGGCACCTCCTTATCCTCGCGCCGCTGGTCGTTGTCGTCCTCGGTGGCCTCAGGATCCTCGCTGGCCTCGTCCTCCTTCTTCACTTCCTTGCTGCTTCTTGCCTTCTTTCTCTCTTTCTTCTCTTCTTTGCTGCTCCTCGCCTTCTTCTTCTTCTTCTCTTTCTTTTCTTCCTTTTCTTCCTTTTCTTCCTTCTCACCGCGGTCTTCTGGTGGACTCCGCTTCTCTTTCTTCGCACCGCGGCCTTCTGGTGTACTCCGCGACCTTGAACGCGAGGAAGCCTCCGCCTCGGGCGGAGGAGGGGCACGAGGCTCGCGAAGAACAGCTCCCCGATCACGCTGGCGGTCGTCACGACGATCTCGATGATGATCTTCACGCTGCTTGGTGTCACGACTCCCGCCTTCGCCGCGCCGATCGTCACGGGGCTTGGTATCACGATTGCCGCCCATCACGATCTTGAATATAGTTGCCGTGATCTCGTCGAGATCCACCTCAGCCGCCGTACAAGGCCTCGATGTGGTCAGCTGCAGGCGCACGAGCCGACCCTGGACGAAATCGAGGCTCTCGAAGCGGCCTTGCTTGAAGAAGATAGGCTTCTTGTTCGTCACGCGCTCCACGATGTGGTGGACCGTGGCAAGGTCAGGAAACTCCAACTCCACGCTGTGCCCCTTTGCGTGGGTGTTGGCCAGAATGCGATGGCAACGCACGCATGCATCCTCGTCCTCCTGATCCTCCCCGCGCCTGGCACGGGCGCGCGCGCGTTCATCACTGCTCTGTGCGGCCCCTGGGCCGTCGTCGGCGTCCTGGCGTAGGCTCGGCGCAGGCATGCTTTTGGGCCTGGGGTGCATAATGATCCGCTCTGGCGCGTCCGCTCGACCCTCCACTGGATGCCTCTGGGCAGGCACCGACTGGGGAGCACGGCGCCATGGAGCGCGGCCACGACGCTCCTCGGCACTGCCTGCCATGCCAACCCAGTGGACGATCGGTCCATGCACCTGCCTAGGCGCCGGCGGCTTCACAGAGCTCCGCTGGTTGGGCGACGCTGGCTGGCCATTCTTAGGCCCGATCTTGTTGTACGGCTCGCGCTCGCCACTCTTCACCTTGGGGCGCTCTGGGTCGCCACGCCAGTGGCCAGGCTGATCGCAGTCAGCACACCGGCTGTTAGCCTTGCGCTGGTCTGTCGGCTTCCGACCAGCCTGGAAGGAGCCGCTTGCGTTGATCTTCTTGGGGTCCCGCTGCCGAGGAGCAACGAACCCGCGCTTCTGACGCTGTACCGCCGTCTTCTGCTTGGCCCTCCAGCCGGCCAAGAACGCTTCCTGAAGATCCTCCGGTGCCTCGTGCTCCTCGTCATCTGGCCCGTCGTTGTCCGACGCCAGCTCCTCTTCGACCTCGGCGCCTTCCTCGAAGAAGGTGCCCTCGGCCCCTCCGAGATCTCCTTCGTCCTGGTCGTCTGCTTCATCTTCGTCATGCTGCGGCTCCTCCAAGTCGCCGTGGTGTTCATCGTAGTCTTCGCCGTTCTCTACCTCGTGTACGTGCTGGCCAGAGCGCCCTCGCAGCACGTATGGCCTACGACCCATGGGGGGGTGCGGATAGCGACCGCCCGAACTCCCAGAGGAGCGCCCGTGCTCACGCTGCGCCGCAAACGGCGAGCGGCGAGGGAGCACTGAGCGCTTCTCGCTGTCGTGCACCTTCGAGTAGGCTGCCTTCAGCACGACCTCCATCCGCTTCGAGTCGTAGATGCCGCCACAGTTGAAGAGCACCTGCGCTCGCTCCTTCTGCGACAGTCCAGCGCCACGAAGCATCTTGCTTGCCAATGCGCGATCGCTGATCGCTGATGTGGGATCCTCGAGCTGCAACTCCATGCGCTTCTTGCGCAAGTACGTGGTCCAATCCATGATCGGCTGCCCAGCTCGACGGTGTGCTCGCTCCCACTCCTGATGCACCTGATCGAGGCGCTCGTGATCCATCTTCTCGAAGGCGTCGTCGTAGATAGCAAAGATAGTCTCAAGCGTCTCCTCGCGTCGGAGGTCCGACGCATCAAGCACCTCGATGAGCTCTTTGGCTCGACCTGTCACTTGACTGTAGATGATCAGGCCCAGCTCCACATCTGAGAGCTGGTTGAGGTTGCGGATGACTTCAACCTCCTTGCGCCACTCTCGGTACTTCTTAGTACTCGTACCGACTGCACCATCGAACTCTGGGAGCTTCACCTGCGACAGCAGTATACGTGCCCGTCTGGGACCGCCGTCGCCACCACGATCCCGATGCAAGGCCAAGAGCTCCCGCTGGGTCACGGCCATCACGCGCAGGACTGCATGCAGGTCCGGGGGACCTGTGCCAGCAGAGGACACAGCCTCCACATCTGAGCCGTCCTGGCTAGCTGCCATGGCGGCCCTCGCAGGTGGTCACGACCACCAAAGCAGAGCACGCAGTGCGTCCGCTGGAGCTTACAAGCTCCGCTACCAATGTCAGTGCAGTTGTTTTAGCAAAGACCGCGCGGCAGTCCAACTGCGGGTGCGTCCCAGGGCCCTAGGACTAGGGCCAAAACAGCGGCGGGCAGCGTGCATGTCACAAAACAAGACAAGCGTGTACAACATACACACATGGTGGCACGGGCGGCAGAGGGGCAGGGGAGTGCACTCTTCACAACAGAGACACAGAGACACAGAGACACAGAGACACAGACACAGACACACACACACACACACACACACGAGTAGACACGAGTAGACACGAGTCCCAGGATGCTACATGCTTTCTCCTATATTCTGGGAGGTTCGTCTCCCCCACACGTCCCCTACTGTCCTGGATATCGACGATTGATTTGTGCCTGTGTGTTTGTTCTTCCTCTGAATATGGAAAGACATAGAAAAGAACCACAGCCGCGAAATCCTGGACAATTTCGTGGCCCCGGCCACGTTATCCACCCCGCCCTTGTCGTGACCCCCCTCCCCCAACCCCCGAAGTCACGATATTGTCACAACGTGGGCCCCCGAAGTGTCGACCAATTCCCTAGGCCCGGTTTTTCATCTAGACTATTTGTTGACATTGCCGGGGCCTGTCGAAGGCCCCTGGAAACCGAAAACAAAAAAACATCCCGTCGTGTTTTTTTCAAGACGCGTCTTGGACGTCCCCGTGGGATGCCCCGAAGTGGCTCCAAAGAGGTCCCAAGAGCCTCCAAGACGCCTCCATGAGGCACCCCCCGGTGACCCAGAAAGCCCCCAGGGTGGCCCATGAATCGTCCGCCAGGGCTCCCACACGCGCCCAACAAGGGACATCGCAAGAAGGGCCTTCGGGCCCTTCCCCCGAACAGGCTTTCAAAATAGGAGGAAGAGGAGGAGGAGGAGGAGGAGGAGGAGGAGGAGGAGGAGGAGGAGGAGGGAGGAGGAGGGAGGAGGAGGAGGAGGAAAGGATGATGATGATGATGAGGAGGAGGAGGAGCCCGACCATGGCCCCAAAGAAGCGTGCAATGCCCCCCCACCCCACCCCCGCGCAGCCGGCCGGGCCGAGCCTGCAGCAAGGCCAGCAGCAGGGGCGGCGACAGGGTCGGCAGGGCCGCCTGGGCCTCCCGCGACTGGCGGATGACCTCCTGCTCGGCCGTTAGAAAGCAGCTCAGGGAGGAGGAGGAGGAGGAGGAGGAGGAGGAGGAGGAGGAGGAGGAGGAGGAGGAGGAGGAGCAGGATGAGCAGGAGAAACAGGAGGAGCAGGAGGAGGAGCAGGAGGGGAGGAGGAGGAGGAGGAGGAGGAGGAGGAGGAGGAGCTCACGGAAGCTCTTGGCCGTCCCATTGGCGCCCACTAGCGCGTCCCATAGCGCTCGTCCTCAGTCAAATGGCACCACTGAGCGCGATCGAGCGCCATATGGGTGCTATTCGTCGCTGCTGGGCGCTGTTTGGGCCCTAGCGGGCGCGCGCAATTCTGCGCTATTCGCAGATGCGCATTCAACGCAAGACGGGCCCAACCTTCCGTGAGGTACCATCGAACGGCTGTGTGCCGCGAGCGACCCCACAGTCAAGACGCAGACACCCTGAGGTCCTGTCGTCGCCTATCACAAGGGGCGATGATTTGCCCTGTTTCGGGCCTGGGGGCCCTCGCGGATCGATCCGGCACGACAAGTGCAGCAGAAAGACTGGGCCCGAGGCTCAGACCGAACTTGTTGCTAACAGCAAGGCTACCGTTGTTGTGATGCCCGCTCTTCTTATTCTGGCTCGCCGCAAAGACAGTCCTATTCCCCTTGGGGGGCTCCACAGTACAGGGCAGTTTTTGATATATAGGATTTTCAATCATGTTGGATGTTTAATGCATGATTCATTCATGAATGAATTGATGCATGAGCTCATCGTTGTTTTTAATGCTGAGCCCTTGCATTTTAATACATGATCCGCACGCGGAGCATGTATAAAAAAAAACGGCACTGTATACAGAGGGGAGACGAGCGGGGCCTCTTTTTACAAAGCATGGCGCCCAGCGGGCTTCAGCCGCCTCGCGGCCCGCCGTCCCGCTCGCTTGAGAGCGGGAGTGCAGGGTGGGAGGACGGATAGCAGCCCGCTCGAAGCCACATGACTGCGGGAAGGAGGAAGAGGAAGAGGAAGAGGAAGAGGAGGAGGAGGAGGAGGAGGGAGAAAACTAGCAGGCGACAGCGGGGACCCTGAAGTTCGAGGACGGGCCCGAACAAGAAATAACAAGAACACGCTCCCCTTGATGGGCCCCACAGCCTGCGCGGGGAGACGAGCGGGGCTTCTTTTTGCGAAGCATGGCCCAAGTGGGCTTCCACCGCCTCGCGGCCCGCCGCCCACCCCGAAGTGGTGCCAAGAGCCCACCGCGTGCGCCCCAGGTCTCATGCGGAACAGCGCGGCACTCCCCCCCCAGGGGCGCACCACGGCTGACCAAACGGAGACCGGTGATGCGTGCTGACGGTGGCCAGGAAATCAAAGAAGGAGACACGAGAAGCATAAACTCTTGGCGCTCCGCGCGGATTTCTTGGATCTGCGCGGGGCCCCCTCCCTGGCGCGCGGAGCGCGCCAGGGGCGGCGCCGGAGGCGCCGCAGTCAACGCGCAGAGTAAGGATGAGCGACTTTCCCAGGTTACCCCGGCAGCCTTCCCCTTCGGCCCATCCAAGAAATCCGTGCGGAGCGCCAAAAGTTTATGTTTCTTGCGCTTTCTTCTTCTTCTTCGAGAATTCCCCCCGCGGGGCGCACCACGGCTGACCAAACGGAGACCCGCGATGCGTGTTGACGGTGGCCAGAAAATGATGGGCCCATTTTCCACCACCACTACCATAGGTAGGAGAGGGAGGAGAAGGAGGAAGAGGAGGAGGAGGAGGAGGAGGAGGAGGACAAACCTCCATTTAGAAAACCTCCCCGTGGTGAAAACGGCCTAGGACCGAAACCGACGGACCTTGAACCGCAAAAATGACGACCGCGACGCCCTCTCGCGAACCGAAAACGGCCAATTCCTTGATCGACGTGTCAGGGTAGGAGGTCTGTCAACCTCCGACTCCTTACGGGTCGGGCGTGTCTCCTCACGGGCGTGTCTCCTCAGGCCGGTCGGGGGGGGAAGTAAGTTTAGGTCCCCCTCCGGAGGCCCGAGGAGCGTCTTGAGCCGTCTGGGACAGCTTTTGGGGCGTTCTTGGGCGCTTTGGGGGCCGTTCTTGGGGGCTACAGGCGGATCTTGGGCGAAAAATAGAAATAGCTAAAAAGAGTAAAAATACTGTCCCCAGACTATTTGTGGACTATTTTGGCGTATGCCTCCTGTAGATCGATGAATCGACGTCCACGCATGCGCCGGTGCTGCTCTCCACGCGTGCGGCCCAGCAGGCAGCCTCGTCTCGGAGGCGACGATAGGGGCGATTTGTACGCATTCGCCCTTGTTTGTAGTGAGCGGTCTTGTGTATAGCGTGCGGGAACATCAACTCACTTTGGAACCATGTCTGGTCCACATCAGGCGTACAAGTTTGTATTGAACCTTTGGCAAGTTTATGACCTCCGAGAGGTGTTCTCTTACAGACGCAAATTGCCTTTGCGAAGCCAGAGATAATGAAGATCTCGTCCCCGAGACTATTTCTGGACTGTTTTTGTAAATTCCTCCACAAACAT